TCTTTCCAGTGGCCCGAGGGGCCAGACTCTGGGAGCTGATGGGGCCCGCGGTGGGGCGACAAAGAGCTGAGCGTTTTAAAAACTTTAGATCAGACCTGAAAGGGCCTACCGAGAGCTCGCTAGGGCAGTCCCTCATTTTACACACAGGCACGGCGAGACCCAGGAGACGAGGACTATCCTTAAAGACACCCAGTAAAGTGAAGTGGATCCAAATGTGAGTTAAAAGGATATTTAACCTGCAGCCTGAGGAGAGCTGGCCAAGCAAGGAAAAGGAAGGCCATTTATTTTTAAGGCGCGAGAGAGACAAACATTATTAGCTTTGAAAAGAAACAGTACAAAATTGATGTCCCAGACAAAGGGGGGGGCCGGTGGTGATGGGGAGAAAAAGTACTCAAGGCCCGGCTCCTCTAAATTTAATTTTGATTATTTTGAATGGGCTGAGATCGCCTCTACCGACGCCTCACCGTGTCAATACCGCTGGGCTACAGCGTCCGAGCCCGAGTTAAAGTAAACTCCCGCCAGCCGGGCACTGCTCTACAGAGATCCTCTTTCTTCATGTTAAAAAAAGAAGAAGAAGAAAAAGAAAACACAAAAAACCCACAAAAAAACACAACACACAGTTAACCACCTGTCAGGGCTGAGGATACAATGAGGCTCCTGGAAAAAGAGCTTTTCATGCATGCGTAATATATTTGTTCAGCTATTCACTTAATGAAGCTGATAAATGTGATGCAAGACAATAGTCAAGTTAATCTATTTAGTAAAATGTTTTGAGACTTTCAGGCGACGTTAAGGAGGGGAGCGTTCGGCGACATTTTCATTTAAATGCGCTCATCTCCCCTCTTAGGCTGCACAAGGGGGTTCAGGCAATCTATGTGAATATAATTTCTTATAAATGTGTCTTTAATGGGTTTAATTCACCCTTGCCAGCTGTTTTGGGGGCTATTTTGTAAGAGCAAAACAAACGTTTCAGGCTTGGAAAGCTAGTTAAAATTAGTTTCGGTCAGCGAGGCCAAGCTATATTTCCTGCAAACCATCTGCTTGATTGGCACAATAGAAGGATTTTCAAGGAAAAAAAAAAGGGGGGGGGGGGAGTGTGAAAGGAATGAGGGGTGGGGGAGACGCTAGAAAGGGGTGGGGAGGCCGGTAGTTCCTTGTGGCCTATTCTGAAGGTGAACCCCTTTAGAGGTGTCTTAATAGAGCGGGTTGCCTAGAGGGCTGGGGCGACTGACTAGAAGGCTCTTTGAGCCCAAACCTTGTCGCCCTCCTCCTTTGCCTAGCCGGTCAGCTCCCTCTTCTCCAGAGAAGCAAGAAGCCAGGCGGTGCGCGCTCCTTTGCGTCGCCCCCCGCCCCGCATCCTGCCAAACTTGCAAGACGAACTCCAAGTGTTGGCAGTTACTATCCAGAGCGCCGAGGCCTGGGGGTTCAAACTCTTGCAAAGTGCTACCTTGGGGTCCCAATCTTCCTGAACTTATCTCTCGTTAACTTTTCGGAAGGCAGGGAGTCTTAAGCCACTTTCTACATCGCAGGCACCTCACCTACCTCCGCGCGGCCTGCGCTTACCAGGGTGCACTGGCTGCGGAGTGCCCCACGACCAGGAGAGCGCGGCGCGTGGGGCTGGGACCCGCCCGCTCTCCACTGGCAGGGAGGAAAGAAATTCCCAGAGAAGGTTCCAAGAGTCCACCCTACGGTCCCAGGAAGGCTTCTGCGGCTTTGGCCTCATAGGGCCCAGGAGTCCTGGCCATCTCAGCCGGGGGCTCCCCGCGCGAGCAGTAGCGTCGTGGGGCAGACAAGCATCTTAACGCCAGCCAGGGCCTCGGAGTCTCACTTTTCCACTCGCGTTTTTTTCCCTTGAAAGAGAAATAGACAACCCAGCTCTGGGAGAGAGGACGTGAGTGACTTCTTTGAAATACACTTGAAGATAACGACATTACCATGAATGGCAGGACGCACAAAACCCCAAGGGCTCAGGTCAAACGGCATTAGTCACAGGTCTTAGCCGCCGCCGCAGCGCCGAGCAGCCCCTTAGGCTATCGCGGGGTTTGAAAAGACGCGTTCAAGGAGATCACTTAAAGTAAGATCCTTTCGTCCGATTTCTTGCTTCCTTAGGATTTATTCTGCCTTTTCACGGAGGGCCAGCCCTCGCCCCCGCCCTCACTTTTCCTCTTTGCGCCTTAGGAATGCTTCAGGGAGCTCTGCAGACAGACCGCTGGAAGCAGAGTCCACGTGGATCGCAGCAAGGGGTTGCTTCCAAAATGTCAGGGCCCCTTTTAAAAAGCAGATAAGTTAGCAGCAGTTAGTCTATAGTAAGGTAGAACGACCGGGATGCGTGTGTGTGTGTGTATGTACTGGGGGGGGGGGGGAGCGCGGGCGCCCGTGCGCGCCCGTGCGCGCGCGCGCATGTGGGAGTAATGGTAGGGGTGCTTGGAGCGTGTAGGTGGGCAGGATAATAACTAAAAACTACACCCAGAGAAACGCTCTAGGAGGAGAGGAAGCCTAGGAAAGAGGATGGCACTAAGAGGGCTCCAGACTGGCTTTGACTTCTTAGCGCTCCTCCCCCGCCCCCGAAAAACCTTGCAAACGGAGGCGCTATTCCGACCCTCCAGAAGACTGGGCAAGCGCTTCAGTGATGGGTAATCCAACACCTGTAGTCATCCCTTTCTTCTTCTTCGGGAACTGGCTACAGTTCCAGGAGGGGAGGAAAGGAAAGAGGGAGGGAGGGAGGGAGGGGAGGAAGGTGAGAGGCGGAGGAGTATTGGATCTGAGAAGAGTTAGAGGGAAAAAGAAAAAAAAAAGAGTTAGAGGGAAAGAATGCAAAACCAGAGCCGGTCTCCCAGCTTCCAGAAAGCAGCTGGGGACAAGGGTAGTGGGGAATTGATAGCGACGGAAAACTTTGTCTTGTGGCAAACTTAAAGTGCAGGTGCTCAAGCAGTTTAGACTTTCCACCCCTATTTTATTGTAAAACTTCAAAAACAAACTTCCAAAGTTTGTCACAGATGTCCCCCCACCTTTCCCAGGAACTCCAATTAACTGGAACAATACATTTTGCAAATTTAAAGAGCCACTTATTTGAAAGTTGTTCCTTTCCTTAGAGGTTTTCGGCAGCCTGCCGCCCAGTATGCCTCCATAAGAGTCATGGGCTCAGAAACTCCATACTTGCGTCATCTTTGAGCATTATAATTCGGCTCCAGAGCCTGGCCCTAAATAACTTTTTAATTTGAATCAAGGGAGAGCTTTAGCGGGCTCTGTTTCTGGTTTAATGTGATATAAATCACAGATGCACTTTTATTGAATGGTTAAAGCAGCGACATGGAGATCATCAACACAAAACGCCCTGAACAAAACCATCGAGAGAAATAAAGCTGGTTAATAAGATTTTTGAGAAAGCTTTGTGTTAAAAAGCAAAAAGGAAAACCAGCTGAAGGTGACAGTTAGTTCATGGTTAATAGGATCAGGGCAGCCTGGCGGGGCTGCACACTTCTCTTTGGGGAGGTTCAGCCACACCAAAGAAATGAATGGGACATTTAACACATCTGTTATCTCGCCGAACAGAGAAACTGGGGAATCGAGGTTCAGCGCCACCCTAGACCCAACCCAGAGTAAAGGGAAGGACTGTCTCCAAGAAGATTCTCCTTTGAGGCCCCAGATTAAGCATAGACTCTCCTGACTGGGGGCCAGCATTCTTGGGAATGGCGTTCTTCGCACTGTTTTCATGTGCTTGTGCACTGCAGTTAATTAGGAGGCTGCAAAACTTTGGCCAAGTTAAGTGTCCCGCAATAGGTAGAACCCTCAGCTTTCACTGCTATGGTTTTAAAAGTCCAGGCTGCAAGTTACAAGTGAAACTGCAGAAAGCTCTTTGAGGTTGGAAAGGGGCCAGGGTAGCGTTTCAGCGTTCTGGTCACCTGGCTTGAGGCTGCTTCTGGAAGGAGTAAGTCCTATGTGCAAGTGGAATACTGCCGCCTAGCCTTGGTCCGTTGCTGCTTTCTGATCCTTTACGAGGCCAGCAAGCTGTGAAGTGCTCCTCGGTGACACTTCTAGAGAAATGTCGCTGAAAATCGTTTTAAGTTGCTGGGAGTTTGCAGAAGGAGACACGTTTTATCATTCAGGTATCTCCCAGCTCTCTCAAACTCCATTAGTTTCCCGACACAAAGGAAGCAAAGACCTCCCCCTCCATCCTTAAGGACTCACATCCAATAACCCCAAAGCATTCATTCCAATCTCCCTGTGTTGTTAGAATGGCACCCCACAAACTGATTTTACCCACCCCTCACATCTGCTTTATGCCTCAGCTGGAGTAGCGTGTAGGGTTAGAGACTGAAGAAGCGAGTATATTTTCATGTTCACTGACTTGAAATTTTCCATTGCCCACCCCACAAGGGGAAAGGTTATTTTACTGATTGCCTGGAGATGAATTTCTATGAATATTTATTGATTTATTTTCCAGGCTCAGCAGGGGAGCTGCAAATAAATTTAGTGCGTTCTTTAAATAATTCCTTTTCTATGAGGCAAGATGTCATCTGAAACTTCTAAATAGGCATTTAATTAGCCCGGGTGTTGCTTCGGAACAAAAACTCCCGGGGAGAGCTTTGGGGGCGCACTGTATTGCAAAGAGGCGGTCGATATGCAGAATTGATGCGCGCCAGCCTTTGTTGCCGGCCCATTGTGCGGGCCATGCTTATGAAGACTAATCCAATCATAAATTGCACCCCTGCGCCAATCAGAGCGCCCAGAGCCTCCGGCGAATGAAGCTCGAGTGGAGAACTTTGTTGAACTTCATTGTCAGAGCTGTCACTTTTCAAAGCGCTTTAACGGGCGGGCCAACTATAAAACCATCACCTCGACGGGAGGACCACGGAGGACTCGCAGACGCCCAAGTGGGATCGTTACTTGGAGACGTTTGCCCAAGAGAGAGGGCACTGCGGGGGCGGGAGGGGCGGGAAGAGAGGCTTTTACCCTCCGGCCGCTGGAAGAAGGGTTATTCCGCCCGCCCCGCGCCTAACATGATGTTCCCAGGCCTCCTCGCACCCCCCGCCGGGTACCCCAGCCTCCTGCGCCCCACGCCCACCTTAACGCTGCCCCAGTCCCTGCAGTCGGCATTTTCTGGCCACTCCAGCTTCCTGGTGGAGGATCTGATTCGCATCAGCCGGCCTCCCGCTTACCTGCCCCGCAGCTTACCCACCGCCAGCATGTCGCCCCCTAGGCAGGGGGTCCCCACGACTCTCACGGACACCGGGACCTCAGACCTGGGCTCCCCGAGTCCAGGCAGTCGACCAGACGGTTCACCTCAGACGGCCGCCTCACCTGCCAGCGAGCCCACGTTTCTGAAGTTTGGGGTGAACGCCATCCTCTCCTCGGCGCCCAGAACAGGTAAGTGAGCGCAAAACCCTGAGGGCGGGTCAAGGTGCGAGTACTTCTGGCCCCGGTTTCCGGTGCAGCAGGCACCCACTCACGCATCAACGCACATACTTACGCAAGATCCCCGAAGCCTCACGTCGCGCACTGTGAGACTTAAGTCCAGCCAATTCCCAGGAAGAAAAGCTCCAGGTTCGCCCCACCCTCATAATGAACTTGAGCACCTGCAGTCGGAGAGAGCGCACGCCCCTAGGCGTCTGTGTTTCTACCCTCGAACTTCTGGAAGCCAGTTTTTAAAATCCCAGACAATGTATTTACTAGGTTAGCTAGTATTATGGACCTGCAATTCTTTTCTTCCTCTCCCCAATACTACATATCTCTCTAGTGCTCAGGATGAGACTGGGGACGGGCGGATTCTGAGGTGGCGGGTCGCGTGGGGGCAGGGGGATGGAGAGGGCGGAAGGATATCCACAGATGGCACAATGTTAGGGAAAGATTTCTTTTACTCTGTCAAAACACCGAGGAAAATGCCTTTGAAGCCAGTCGAAGGATTAATGATATCATGTATTCAATGTTCTGTACAATAATCAAGTACTTAATCAAATTCCCTGTCTCCCTCCTTTTCATTCTTCCTTTATTCTCTGCCAGAAACATCCCCCGCCTTGCTCCAGAGCGTTCCTCCCAAGACTTTCGCTTTTCCCTACTTCGAAGGCTCCTTCCAGCCTTTCATCAGATCTTCTTATTTCCCAGGTAGGTCTCATCCCCCTTCCCTGCCGTCCCCCTCGCTCCCTGCTCCGAAGCCATATTTCTCTGTCCACCCCTCGGGGTTATGCTCTGGTTCAGAGGTTGCGAGGCGTACAACATTCACGAATCCGTCGCGCCAATTTGATGCCCTATTTAGCACAAGCAGTGACTGCTGACACTTTGCACCAATTCCCTGCTCTACAAATTAGCAGGAATTGTCATGGTCCCAATTTGAGGCGGTTCCCTTCCCGGCGAGGAGCTGTTGGCATCCCTTCACGCCGCCGTTTTCCCACAGAGTCAGTGCACTTGGCCACGATTCCCCACAAAGGTTTCAGCACCATGACCAATTGGTCAGCTCCTCCGGCAGCCACACACAGATCGGCCTTCGCCCCTCCACGCCGCCGAGAGACACCTACCAGCCGGGGCTAATTTCTCTTTAAGACTCATTCAGGGCTTGGGGCTTTTCACAAGACCACATGGGGTGCCCTCTTGTGTGGGATGCCTGGGGTCGCCCAGGGGGAGGGGGACTAGATCCTCCCACAACCCCAACCTATTTCCAACCTGATTTCCCAACCTCTTCTCAGACCCTTCCCCCACCGCCTTATCTTTTTAAAAATTTTGAGCTTGTAACATAAGAAGTCTGAGGGAAGCCTGCAGTTGGGTCCCAGTCTAAAGGAGAAACACCTTAACACAGTTTATGGGAGGTTTTCATCCTGCAAACCTAGTTGTGACTCAAACTATAGCTCAAAACTCTGCAACTGCTGGAGACTCAGAAGACAGAGGAGAGCCTGTAAAGAGAAGAGAGACTGGGCATGGACGGTGGGGGATGGGTAAAACCACGACAACACTCCCAAATATCAGCGAAAGAAACATGCAATTGATTTTTAAAAGGGGGAGAGAGAATTCACCAACAGCCCCCCGCCACCATTCATGCTGCTGCTGATAATGGAATTTGCTCCCTTTCTCCCTCATCTCAATGCTCTAACAAAAACAACCCGGGCTTTATAAATAGCTTTTCATGTCCATTTAATGAAAATGATTCCGGGAAGAGAAGCCTCTGCCATCAGTATTCTCCCAATGGTCTTGGCCTGCAGTTGTGTTTAGTTTGAAAGTGTAAATCTCTTTTGTCCTAGTAATATATGGCTTTCGCTGCTTGTCCTCAGTCTTTTTCTGTTAGTTCATTACTACACAATTACCATTCACGCTTCATTAGAGTCTCTGTTTCTTTTTTTTTTCCCCTCCCTTAAAGCAAAACTCTCCCCCTTTTTATCATGCCAATACCCATTGGGGAGCGGTCAATGTGCTAATTAGCTGCCACTTTTCATGTATTCGGGCCGAATTCTTTACGTTTGTGGGGGAGGGGAGGAAAGATTAATATGAAAAAGATGAATGCTGATTGGATTTTTCAAAAAAAAAAAAATCCAAAGCGGATTTTCTTCTGTCAAATCAGTAAAGTACCTCATTTTCATCTAAAGAATACAAAAGCCACCAAGGTGATAAAAAGCTTAAGGGGGAAACCCAGTGGCATCCTCTGTATATTTTATCTTTATTTTTGTAATTTATGTTTTTCTGTTGTTAGTTTAGCTGATACACGCAGGTTTGCCCCCTTGAGACCGTTCCCTGAGACCGTTGAATGTAAAAATGAAACAGGCTATTGTAGGGGCTGTTTTCTGTGTTTCCGTGGTTTTACCTAATCCGGGTTTGCTTGGTTGAAAGGGAAAGTTATTTGGGCGGAAAGCGCCTTTCACTCTCGCAGGTTTGTAGGTTCCTGCTCTATTCTCCAAGAGGAGAAAAAGAGGGGCTTTAAAGAGATGAAGGGATCAGAGAGAAAAACCGAGGGAGGCCCCTAGAGAGGGGCAGACGCTACTGCCCCGGCGGGACGCCGCCCACTCACTCGCAACCCCTCACTCCCACCCCTCCGCAGCGTCCTCTAGCGTCGTGCCCATCCCGGGGACCTTCTCCTGGCCGCTGGCGGCCCGCGGCAAGCCTCGCCGGGGCATGCTGCGTCGAGCCGTGTTCTCCGACGTGCAGCGCAAGGCGCTGGAGAAGATGTTCCAGAAGCAGAAGTACATCAGCAAGCCCGACCGCAAGAAGCTGGCGGCCAAGTTGGGCTTGAAAGACTCACAAGTGAGAGCGGTCTCCTCCCAGCCCCCAGCCCCTACGCTTCACCCCTCCCCCAGCCTTGATACAACTGGGAGGGTTCTCTGAGACCAATTCGGTCCCATTGTTCGGATGGGGAAAGTAAGGTCTAGAGAGGGAATGCGTGCGCCCACCAGCTTCCTTGAGGCTCGTCGGGACAACCCGCTTCTCTCCGGGTCTCTTCGCTCCACGCCTGGCTCAGCGCCCCCCACCCCCCGCGGACATCAGGGTCAGAGGTCAGAGGATGGGGTTAGAGCAGAGAGGAGCTGAAGAGGGAGTGAGGGTAGGGTGAGTGCCTTGAGCCACCTGAATCCAAGTCAGGGCGTGGGCAGCGGGCAAGGAGAGTAAGGACAGAGCCTCCTACCCTCCCAGGCGGTCCCGCCGGCGCCCCTCCCCCCGGGCCTTGGTGTGAAGGGCCTGCGCTAACCTCTGCTTGTCCCCCACTCCCTCTCCCCGACCCCACCCCACCCCGCCCCAGGTGAAAATCTGGTTCCAGAACCGACGCATGAAGTGGCGGAACTCCAAGGAGCGCGAGCTCCTGTCTAGCGGGGGCTGCCGAGAGCAGACTCTTCCCACCAAACTCAATCCGCACCCAGACCTCAGCGATGTTGGCCAGAAGGGCCCGGGGGAGGACGAAGAGGAAGACGAGGGCCGGGGCAGCCCCCGCCACCGCCTAGTCTATCACGCGTCCCCCGACCCTCGGCACCTGCGGGACCCGCGGCTGGAAGGGCCGCTGCCGGCCTCGCCCGCGCACTCGAGCAGCCCCGGCAAGCCTTCGGACTTCTCCGATTCCGAGGAGGATGAGGAGGGCGAAGAGGAGATCACCGTGTCTTAGAAGCCCTCCCCGAGGCCTGGGTACTGTTTAGAAGTGCTTTGAAATTGAAGAGGCGGGATTCCGTCTGCGTGTCCGCTTAGTTCCGGTTGCCCAGACGCTGTGGCTCCCCTTTGCAGAACCGTCACCTCATCAGGGGCGCCCCAGCCCCTTCCATTGCCCAAAATGGCGCCCCCCCCCCCCACCTCCCAACAGCTCTTTCCACATAAGTGAAACTTGGGTCTTGGTCCCAGCCTTAAACTTTTCCACCAGAGCTCCTATCTTGCTTACTGCAAGCTATTTTAAACACAGTGGGGGTATTCACAACAATAGCCTGGGTTTAGCAGTGAGCCAGGCTCTGCAGGTCTTCAGCAAAACTCTTAATGGCAAAGGAAACGAAGTTAGGAGTCACAACATCCCAGGCATATGACTCCAAGACCTCTGACTTCCTAGATGCCTCCACCTCCCTATCTTAGGTTGGAGGGTCACCTACCCAGCCAAATCTGTACACACACGCACACAGACTCCTTCCGGTCTAAGTCACAGCATAAATAACGAGTCTTTTCTGTCATATCCCCAATGCTCTCTGGGCAAAGAAGTGAGTTGTTGAGGGAAAAGTCCATCTCTATTTCTGTATGCATGTTTTAAAGCTTTTTCTTTAAAATTTCTGTATCCATAGTATATGCACCAAGCACTCTACCTTGTGCCCTTTTATTATTTCTGGGGAGATTTCACTGACCTGAAAGGCTCTTGAGCACTGGGCATGATGTGAGCAGAGAGAGAACCCTCAAGCCTCTTTGATTTTGATTTTTTTTTTTTACTGAACTTTGCTGTCTTTGCACAGCTTTTATGAACTGTACACTATTTTGTACACATGTGCTGTATGGATATTTTATACCAATGTTATTGTGAATGACTATAAAGTACTGATTAGACTTTCTTTTTTTTTGCAATGGGTTTTATACTTTAAAAATGTAGCTGTTTAATTGCATAACTTATAAAGAAATACTTATTTTGTATTTTTACCTTGTACAGATTTTTATATATGTATATATGTACCAAATGAACAAATGCCAAATAAAAAGTAGAATGGACACAGTAGTCAAGTGATCTCATTAATTTACAGAGTGTCTTAGCTGAAAGGGTTGGAGCTTCTAGTCCGCGTGCTACTGGAATTTATAGAAGGTAAGCTGATATCCAAGAGGGGATGGCACATATCTAAGGCCCCCCCAGCTGCTTAGTGGCCAAGCTGGAACAAGAACCCATCTCTAACTCTCGGGCCAGTGCTTTTTCTCCTTGCCTGTACCATAAATAACCATAATTGCTATGGTGACAAGTAAAGTAGCTCCAGTAACATGGTACCAACAACTTGAGTCTGCGGTAATCCTTCTCCTTTTTTCTAAGGACTGAAATGATGCACTGAAAGAACTCAGTGAAAGGCAGTTCAATCTTATAATGCTTTCCCTTTCCCTCCTTGAAGGTTTTTATAATTCCTGGTCCCCAGGGAAGCTCAGAGTTGCTCCTGACTTTTGTGTATAAACTAATTTTCTTAGGAATGTCATCTATAGCCATGACTTGGGAGCCCAGACACAGACTCTGGATTGCCCAAGTGAAACTAAATTTCTTTAAAGACAAGCTTTCAACAGAAACAATTCATTTAACCAGCAACTTAGGGATAAAGAACGTCAGGTAGAATACTGGTAAGGGTTTCTGTATGCTTTAAGAGTTTGGTCTCTTAGCCACAGAGACCTGCATTTCTTTATTATCCGAACCCATGCCCCAACAGTGAGGGTGGGAAGAAGTTGCTCAGCTTAAATTTCAGTGGTTTGTACCATATTTAAAGTTTGAATTTTGCTATTCTCAGTGTAATTCTCTTTCTAAAAAACAAAAGGCCTCTCTACCAGATTCTGATATCCTCCCGTGTTGGGCCTGTCTCTGACACGGGTAATCACTATTTTCATTATTGTTTAGACATGATCCTGGGAACTCGAAAAAAAAAAATCTTCATTGTCATAATTGTCTTCATCCAGGAAACCCTCCACATTTCCTCCTCAACACATATGAAAGTACCTAGCACGGCATTCTGTACATGGTAGGCGTACAAAATTTAGACAAGAAACTCTTTGAGTGATTCAGGCGGTTCCCTCCCCGCCCCCCGCCCTGCCCCGGCTGCTGCCTGGACATCCAGAGATGAGATCCTGGGCAGAAGCCGCTCGCTTTTCCCTCCCTGCTCGCCCAAGCCCACATTTCTTACTTACCGTCAAGAACTATTTTCAGGCATGGGGATGGATTAGTGTCTACACTCGGAGTCAAAGTCCTTCCGAGGCACGTTCATGTTCATTGCAGCATTGTTCACAATAGCCGAGAGGTAGTCCCATTCACATCATTCACGTTCTTCACAATAGCTTCTGCAATCCAAATGAATAAAGAAAATGTGGCATATACACACAATGGATTATTATTCGGCTTTACGGAAAGAAATCTTGTCACATGCTCAACATGAATGAGCCTTGAGGACATTATGCTAGTGAAATAAGCTAACAAGAAAAAGACAAGTACTATATGATTCCACTTACGTTAGGTATCTAACGCAAGCAAATTAATAGAAACAGAAAGTAGAATTGTGGTTGCCAAGGCCTGGGATAAGGGGGCCTTATCACAGATAGAGTTGTGCCATGGGCACAGAGTTTCAGTCTCACAAGATGAAAAAGTCCTAGAGATCTGTCATGCAGCAACGTGAATATGGCTAACATTGCTGAATGGCATATGACTAAGATATAAGATTTTATGTGTGTTTTTTAAAATCTCAATTAAAAGTATTTTTAATGTAAATAAATTGGAAAAATAACCTAGAACAGTTAAAATCCAGCAATGGTCAAAATTACAGCCAAATGAAGAAAAGTTGTGGTAAGCAATATTATAATACAATGTAGACTTCAAAGCAAGAAGCGTTCTATGACAATTTTTTTTTCTAAATTAAGAAAAGTTAATGGGACGCTTGGCTGGTGCCGTCAGTACAGCATGCAACTCTTGATCTCTGGGTTGTGAGTTAGAGCCCCACATTGGGGGTAGAGTTTGTGTGAGTGAAAAAGAGAGAGACACCTTTTTCTTTTCCAGGTGGCATCAGGGAGAGTGCAGGAGAGAAGAAAAAGAAGGTTCCTACTGTCCCTTTCGTGGAGTGAAAGATCAAGCATTTGAGAAGGAAGTTGGTCCTAAAGAGGCTTTGAAAGGCAAGGAGGGAGCTTATCTATGAAAAAGCTAAGCACTGGGGCACTTGGGGGCTCAGTCGGGTTAGCATCTGCCTTCAGCTGGGGTCATGGTCCTTGGGTCCTGGGATCAACCCCACCTCAGACTCCCTGCTCAGTGGGGAGTCTGCCTCTCCCTCTCCCTCTGCTCTTCCCCCTGCTCATGCTCTCTCAGGCTCTCTCTATGTCAAATAAACAAATAAAATCTTAAAAAAGAAAAGAAAAAGCTAAGCATTACCACAAGGAATATAGGCAAATTCTCGGAACTGAGATTTGAATGGGTAGGATGGCACAAAAAGATGGCGACTGCTGCGTACCTGTGGAACCCAAACTGGCATTTATCATCGGGTCCAAGCCAAGAGGTTCAAAAGGTGTTGAAGCTTCTTCCCCTTTGCCAGATCATCAATGGCCCTTTGTTAGTTTCACCAAGGCTTCAGTTAACATGCTAAGGATTGTGAGCCATATAGAGCATGAGGGGACGCAGCCCTGAAGTCAGTGCATGAATTGATCCACATGCATGGTTAAAGCAAAATCAACAAGAAGAGAATTGTCCTGACAGAGAACACGTTGATTACTCCATCTCTTGGTAAATATGGCATCATCTGCACAGAGGATGGGATTCATGAGATCTATACTGTTGGGAAAAGTGTCAAAGAGGCAAACAGCCTCTTATGGCCCTTCAGGTGCTCTTCTCCACAAGGGGGAATGAAGAAAAACATCACCCATCTTGTAGAAGGAGGAGATGCTGGCAATGGGGAAGACCAGATGAATAGACTTATTAGAAGGATGAGCTAAGGTACTCACCATGATTATTTTTGTAGTTGGGTCAGTTAGTAAACAAATATTTTCAAATTGGGGCAAAAAAGAAAAGAAAAAAGAGGAAAAAAGAGAAAGAGGGAGAAAGAAAAAAAAAAGGAAATAAAAGAGAAGTTAAGAAAACCAAGTAAAGAAAAAACTACTCTGTAGATTTTTTTTTTTTTTTAAACCTGTACACTATTGCCCGGTAATCACAGAGCTTTACATCTTGAGAACTATGCGTGCCACATTTTGGCTCATTTTCATGTCTCTTTTGGCTAAGAGTGTCACAGACGTGACGACCATGTCCCTTTTGCCCACAGTTTCCTTAGTGGTGTGCGTAGTCGCTAATGCGTACTGGGTGTCTGATATGTGTTGAGTGAATAAATAAATTAAAAGGAGAGACAGAGACACTCCAGAGTCTAGACCATAAGCCTGGAAGTTACCGATCTTTCAAATGAGTTGAAGGATAACTTAGGTCAAAAATGAAGAAAAAGAGACTAAATAAACTGACCAAATATGTTTTTCCAAGTCAAACCAATTACTTTAGCCCAAAAGACCAAAATAGTTGTTATCTATCAGCTGAAGAATAATAAATGCTAAAATGTGTGGCAGGCAGGCGTTCTGCTGGGTGCGTTCTGCTAGGTGGGGATCTCATCAAAACGTAGATCATAACCCAGGGCTCTGTTGTGCAGCGTTGCTAACCACCTGTTGGTTCATGGAACACACTTTAAGTAGCAAAGACTCCCGTGAGTTTTATCCTCACAGTAACCCATCTAAGGTAGATACTATTATCCCCACATACAGATGCCAGAACTGAGGCTGGGAGTCTGGGTGATTTCCCATGGTTTCCTGAGCTGGAATTCAAATTCAGGTTCATCTTACTCTACTGCACCATCCTGCTCCCTTGACTAAACTGGTTAAAAACTCACTTAACCAAACCCCAATCAATAAGAACTCTCCAACAGAGCTTTATGCTTTTTA